CCGTCCGTCAGTCCGTCAGTCTGTCAGTCCGTCCGTCCGTCCGTACGTCCCGAAATCTTGTGAACGCAATTCCTCTTAAACCGGATGTCAGATTTTGCTTAAACTTACAGGGATGAACAACCTTAATGTGTAGATGGTAGTAAAGGAAGGAATTTTTGCTGCGACCAAATTTAAAAGAATTATGGCCCTTTGTTGATTTTTTCACTAGCTACTATGTAGAAATTTTGTGAACACAACTCCTCTTAAACCGGATGGCAGATTTTGCTTAAACTTACAGGGATGAACAACCTTAATGTGTAGATGGTAGTTAAGGAAGGAATTTTTGCTGCGACCAAATTTAACAGAATTATGGCCCTTTGTTGATTTTTTCACTATATACTATGTAGAAATTTTGTGAACGCAACTCCTCTTAAACTGGATGGCAGATTTTGCTCTAACTTACAGGGATGAACAACCTTAATGTGTAGATGGTAGTAAAGGAAGGAATTTTTGCTGCGACCAAATTTTAAAGAATTATGGCCCTTTGTTGATTTTTTCACTATATACTATGTAGAAATTTTGTGAATGCAACTCCTCTTAAACCGGATGGCAGATTTTGCTTAAACTTCCAGGGATTAACAACCTTAATGTGTTGATGGCAGTAAAGGAAGGAATTTTTGCTGCAACCAAATTTAACAGAATTATGGCCCTTTGTTGATTTTTTCATTAATTACTATGTAGAAATTTTGTGAACGCAACTCCTCTTAAACCGGATGGCAGATTTTGCTTAAACTTCCAGGGATTAACAACCTTAATGTATAGATGGTAGTTAAGGAAGGAATTTTTGCTGCGAACAAATTTAACAGAATTATGGCTCTTTGTTGATTTTTAGTTTCAACTTGTGGCACATGTAGTCCAAAAAATATTTGACCTAGAGTCATAAGATTGACAGAACAGTGGCGTGTGGGGGCATCAGTGTCCTATGGACACATTTCTAGTTTAAATTTAAGATTCAGACATTTCGCATGAGGATATATTAATCAATTATGCAATGGTAGAATTGAATGACAGGTTGGTTGATATTTAACATAGAGGAAATTTAGCGATTTTTGTCAATCCGTGAAATTTGCCAATTTTCTGCATTAATAACTAGTATTTAGCATTAATTGTAATGAAAATAAATCATTCATTAATAAATTATTTTTATTATATTCTTAATAGATCTGTATATATATTTTTCAATACTTTACACTATCCATTTATTATTAAATTGTCCTACTTTTATCATATAATGAAATAATTATAGATATTAAAACTATTTATACACTATAGGGTTGTTTTTAATGAAGTTGTACAGACAAGCAAGGATTATATGAGAGATGTTACAGTTATCAATCCAGACTGGTTGTGTGAACTTGCTCCAGATTTCTACCAGTTTGGAACTGTAAGTATTTCATTATTCTTTACCCTGCCAGTCGCAACTATCTACAAGCGCGACAAGTGTTAACCAAGATCAGCCACCTCATCTGTGTCATGCCCCACCATTTGCTGTTCAGTCAAAACTTATTTTGAGATGTTGCCAAAAAATGATAACCAGTTTTGTCCAGATTGAATAATGGACTGGTCCATTTAAGTTATATAGAATTGATAAACTTTTGTTCTTCTGTAGTGCCTTAAAAATTGTATATGCTAGTAAACAAATGATTTTGTTCACTTGGAAAATAACTTTTTATGTACTACAGACTTACCTTTGTTCTATGTTTAAAAAAAATGCTATCAAAATTCAATTGAATTTGAAAAAACATGTTGCTCAATTTTAGAGTTTGTATGAAGGAATTGCCCTGCTTTGGGAACAGTTGAAGTAACTAAGTTTAGGGATTTTCAGTATAGAAATACCAAGTTAGAGCAGCCACAAGTTTAGGTAATAGTAAGACTGAGGAAAAAAATATTCTGGCTGAAGCAGACTAGTATGACTAGAATAGTGGCACGAATTTGTTGTTGTTGTTTTTTGGCCCCCAGCACTTAGTAAAAATGAACATTATGTATCCAAATAAATACATGTATGCTCTTTCATTTAAAATAAACTGTCTTGTGTGTAGGAATTCAATTGATCTGTGCTTTAGACTAATGAATATTCAGGCATCTTTGAGCTGTTGCTTTTTATAAGGCAATATAGAGCCATACTAAAAATGCACTTTATATAACTAGGAACAGTTGGTTGCATCATACATTTACATTAGGGTTTTTTTACCAGGAGAGGAGATACAGCAAAAAAGTTAAAACAAAAGGGAACGGGGGCTGATATTTTCCAAACAGAACCTGTATTTGACCACAAAAACCCTTGTTTAAAATTTTTAAATAAAAATTTGGCAAAACCTGTCTTTTTAATCAAATTTTAATAAATTTTCATAAAAAGTTGGAAATATTTTTAAAAATTTTTAAAAAATAAAAAAAAATTTTTTCATTTACAATAACTTATTGTGTGTGACAAGCTTGAAAAATATTTCATTTTTTACTTTAAAATGTTTTTTTTTAAAATTCCCAGTTTAAATTTGTTTTCTTTTTCAAAATACTATGAATTCACTAATTTTGGGGATGATTTTTTGGGGTTGTTTGTCACAAAGATCTTCGGGGGGTTATTAAAATTTCATGGATTGTTTTTTTCCAAAAGTTAAAATGTAAAATAATCTTACAGCAGACGAATGGATCTTTCATTCGTGGATTGAACTATCCATGAAATCACAAAAATTAGTGCCCAACGAATAATAATGATTTTGCAGTAGTCACTGTGTCCCTTATGTCTCTCATATTAGTTGGTTTTGAAAGCTTGGTTAGCTTGCCATGTGTTTGTGGTTCTACATGGTTGCCTGCTGGTGCCAGAAATTATTAATGAAGGGGCACTCGAGGTCTTCCTCCCACAGTAAAACTGTAATGGTCGCTGTATGATTTTTACAATGCCAAGTGTTGTAACTGGCAATATGAAAAATATAAGTCATATGATATATAAGTCAATATGATATGTAATATTTTATAGTTAACTGATAAATCATGTCCATTTTTAACCAGGTTTTCCGAAGAAAAAAACTGGTTATTAGATTGAGGATGTCAGCGGATGGGCGGACGGGCGGGCGGGCGTAAACAATTTCTTCTGTGCGCAACTCCTCCTACATTTCTCAACGGATTTAGACCAAACTTTCACAGAAGCTTTGTCATCAAGTGCCCTGGCGCATATTGTCGGGGTTTTGCGATTAGATAATATTTGACCTTATTATGGCCCTTTGTTTTTTTTCCTTATATAGAATATATAGTGAACAATTTCTTCTGTGCGCAACTCCTCCTACATTTCTCAACGGATTTTGACCAAACTTTCTCAGAAGCTTTGTCATCAAGTGCCCTGACACATATTGTCAGGGTTTTGCAATTGGTATATATTTGACCTAATTATGGCCCTTTGTTTTTTTTCATTATATAGAATATACAGTGAACAATTTCTTCTGTGCGCAACTCCTCCTACATTTCTCAACGGATTTTGACCAAACTTTCACAGAAGCTTTGTCATCAAGTGCCCTGGCGCATATTGTCGGTGTTTTGCTATTAGATAATATTTGACCTAATTATGGCCCTTTGTTTTTTTTCCTTATATAGAATATATAGTGAACAATTTCTACAGTGCGCAACTTCTCCTACATTTCTCAACGGATTTTGACCAAACTTTCACAGAAGCTTTGTCATCAAGTGCCCTGGGGCATATTGTCAGGGTTTTGTGATTGGATAATTTTTGACCTTATTATGGCCCTTTGTTTTTTTTCCTTATACAGAATTGTACAAATTCTTCTGTGCTGAACTCTTCCTACATTTCTCAACGGATTTTGTTCAAACTTTCACAGAAGCTTTGTCATCAAGTGCCCTAGCACATATTGTCGGGGTTTTGTGATTGGATAATTTTTTACCTAATTATGGCCCTTTGTTTTTTTCCTTATACAGAATATATATAAAGTGAACACTTCTTCTGTGCGCAATTCCTCCTACATTATTCATGTTTTACATTGCACATAGTTACATTGTTTGTTGCTTGTATTTGTATTTCAAATACAACATATTTATCTACAATGGTGATAATTGAAAACCTGGTTTCATGGCATTGCCATGTTTCTTGTTGTCCTTGTATTGTCAGCAACTATCAAGATCAGCTGTTTGTTAATATCATATATTGTCAACAAAATAAACCTGTAAATTATTTTTATATCAAAGCATAACAGTTACTGTTATACCCACGTTGCAGACTTATTACTTTAGTATTGAATTGTCGGGTAACAGGGTGACTATGATGAGTTTATTTACAGACTATTTTATATGCGAGGTCACTGTAACTAAGTTTAGATCTACTATAAATTGTGTTTTTGACACATTTATAGAGTTCAATATGTGTATCAGTGATTAAATAGACATTGACATCATGTATCCATAAGAAAATTATATTATTTTTTTTCCTAATAGTCACAGTGTCGAAAATGTCAAACATAAAAATCATTGGAAAATAGTGTTTGTTTGTTTTCTACCCTCCTCTCATATAACAACTAATCAGAGTGGCTCACACTTTGTTTTATGCAAATTCTTGTACTTTACCAACATCAGAGCGTCATACTATTTACAAACAAGGGAGACAATTTATATCTTGATTCATCCCCTGCTCCACATGTTGATCATCTAAAATATATTCCAGTTTTGTTTAGGGTATTTATTACAAGGGCCATTAATAAATTTGGTAACATTGTTTTTAGGCTGTGTGACGGTCTGTTTGTCACAAAACATCAACTTAGACAATTACATGAAAGTCCTGCCTTTAGAATCTAAACTTCACAGGTACATGCATTCTTGATTAGCTTTACCCACTAGAACCACTGAGAGATCACAGGGTCAAAAGGCCATCCTCGGGCCATGATATTCTTTTCGGAATATAGCTTGTTCTTGACATGTAAGTACATCTGTGACCCTCAATCAAAAATAACACAATAAATAAATTGTTGTATTAGCCTTTAATCATATAATGTTAAAAGTTATTGGTAAAAGAAATTATAAATTAGCACAATATTTGAACAAAGCTTCTTGACTATAAGGTATATATGTAACATTGTATTCTTGATTAAAAAACTAGAAATTAAAACAAAGTTGTTTTACATACATGAACATCACCCTTGTAATGTCGTATAAAATATTAGAACACTCAATGTTAAAGCTGCATGCCTCCAGATGAGCTAAAATATTTCAAGACAAACTTGAGTTAAATTTACCGAGATTTATGAGATTTTAAGAAGAGTGTAATGACTTGAGTAATAACTTTCATGTTTCTTATAATTAATGACCGAATTTTTTTACCTCTTTTTGGTTATTGACATGGGTTGTAAATGCTATTCACTTCACAATATGTTATTTTTTTTATACATTTCAACATTTTCATGAAAATTAGCATGAATCTGGAGGCATGCTGCTTAAGCATAAAGATTAATAAACAAATAAGCAGAATTTAGTTTTACATTAATTAATTGTTATGTTACTTCCACTTACATACATAGTAATATGCCAAATTAAGTTAGATTTTATTTTTTTATTAACCCTTAGTCTGCTGAAATTGTGTAGTGACACAAATGGATTGTCCTGCTTTGAATTTGAAATACAATACCGGCAGTCTATTCAAAATTTAAGGACTGAGCTATGGACAGTATACAGCCTTGTCATAGTATATTTGAAGACTGGCCTGGTCCTATACTGGTGGCAAAGGATTATTACTTTTGGTTCCAGCACGGTAGGGGTTAATTACAAGTGTTTCATTGTATTCTTCTGCTGCAAAAAGTCACAACTCAAAACAACATTTCCAGAACATGTTACTCTCTAAATTAAATCTATTCTCTTGAAAAAAAAAAAGCAAGTGCTTGAACTAAGCTAAGATGATAATACATTTTGTATGTTAAATGCATTTCCTGTATTAAATACTTTAATAATTATAATATTAATTTTTTATGCATGTATTAAAATTCTGAACTAGACAATGAAATACTTTGCTGAATTAAAGATGAAATCTGATATGAAGTATTTTAACAGTAGGTGCTATCACCTGTAAGAAATGGCCACCTCTGTACAGCAATAACTTTTGTACAACAACAGGAATAATCCTTCACAAACTAAGACTTGGCAACAGATTTTACCTCATTAAAGCAACACCTCACAGTAACAGCCAAAATCTCTGACCCACAAAAGGTGTTGCTCTGAAAACAGCCAAAAAATCAGTTGAACACCTGATACAGTATCTTTAACACTTTAACTGGCTCCACTTGGCACGAAGAAATGTGAATATTTAGTGACGAAAAATATTTGTAAAAATTCTAATTATGATAAAAGCCCTATTTCATTATGGCGCTAGGTATTCAATAACATTATTTATCGCACACCCGTGCCGATTATGCGACTCCGTAAATATGGTATTGCACGGCTGTGCATATATTTTGACGTTATACAAACATAGTGTAAAGACGCGCTAAATGTTTGCGTTATACTGTAGTCGCGTCAATAAAAAATGACTCTTATTTCACTTTAAACGGTCTTTATTTTTGGTATGTGATAAATAGAATATTAAATTCGTGTAAGTTCATTACTGCATTTATTGCACTCGTTGAATAAAATAATACTATGCTCGCCAGAGGCTCGCATAATATAATTTTATTCAACTCGTGCAATAAATTCAGTATTGAACTTGCACTCATTCAATATCCTCTATTTAATCTTAAATTTGTTGTCATATAGTATTTTTTCAAGAAAATGTTATTAAAGTTTGCCAAAGGCTTACTTTGTTACAATTTCTTTAATTCCTTTTCATGTGAGATCATATTACTTAGTACTCAAATGATGTGCACCAAATATATAAAAATTACAATACATATACAAACATCTGTCAATTAAGAATTTGGATTTAAAAGTATCCAATCAGGTCAAAATATCTTCAATCTTTGATAGCAACATTATGTTTTAATGGTGACATGGCCAGGTGACATGGGTTCAAACCATGTCAGGGTCAAGCAATTTTTTCCTTGAGCAAGAAAATTTACATAGTGCTATTACTTACATTCTAGGACAAGGTTTTCTATACTGAACAAAAGGAAAACAGCCAAATGTTGATCATTTGTGAAATCCTGTAAAAACTAGACTTATCACTGAAGGTGATTAATACCCCCACCAGCAACTTTGACTTTTTGAAAGAAAATTTGAACACAAACTATCAACTGTGTACAAAGAAATATTTCAATTAATTGTAATTGCAACTGGGGTCTCGAAATAAGCTTGCTATACACCAAGTTTGATTACAATATCTCATTCCTAACTCTAGTTATTGTCTGGAAACCATTTTTCTATTTTTAGTAACACTGTAATGGTGACCTTGACCCAAGTCTTCATATAAGCTTCCTATACACCAAATAAGATTCCTAACTCTAGTTATTGTCCGAACGCCATTTTTCGTAACGGTGACCTTGACACCAGGGGGCCCAAATGCAATACCAATCAAGGTCTTCATATAAGCTTGCTATACGCCAAGTTTGATAACAATATCTCATTCCTAACTCTAGTTATTGTCCGGAAACCATTTTTCTATTTTTAGTAACACTGTAACGGTGACCTTGACCCTATGGGGTCCAAATGCAATACCAACCCAGGTCTTCATATAAGCTTTTTTTACACCAAATTAGTTAACAATATCTCAATCCTAACTCTAGTTATTGTCCGGAAACCATTTTTCTATTTTTAGTAACACTCTAACGGTGACCTTGACCCTAGGGGTTCCAAATGCAATACCAACCCAGGTCTTCATATAAGCTTCGTTTACACCAAATTAGATTACAATATCTCATTCCTAACTCTAGTTATTGACCGAACACCACTTTTCTATTTCTCCTTACGGTGACCTTGACCCCAGGGGGCCCAAATGCAATACCAACCAAGGTCTTCACATAAGCTTGCTATACGCCAAGTTTAATAACAATATTTCATTCCTAAGTCAAGTTATTGTCCGGAAACCATTTTTCTATTATTAGTAATGGTGACCTTGACCCCAGGGGGCCCAAATGCTATACCAACCCAGGTCTTCATATAAGCTTGCTATACACCAAGTTTGATAACAATATCTCATTCCTAACTCTAGTTATTGTCCGGAAACCATTTTTCTATTTTTAGTAACGGTGACCTTGACCCCAGAGGGTCCAAATGAAATACTAACCAGAGTTTCCACATAAGGTTGTTATATACCAAGTTTGATTACAATACCTCATTCCAAACTCTAGTTATCGTCCGGAAACCATGATGTGGACCGACCGACCAACCAACAGACCGACAAGCTGACTCCTATATACTCCCCCTAAACTTCGTTTGTGGGGGTATAATAAAAAAAATCCCCTACTTTACAGTTGTAAAATTTGTTATTATTAACATGAATATCTGGTCCCTTAAACCTGTGCTTTAAGGGTAAAATGTATGATGATGCAAGAGGAGATACTTGTACATGTACATGGTTATATCACTAGGGCAAAATACATAATAATACAAGATGTAACAAGCAAAATTAAAGTAATTCAATACATTAAAATACAATAAAATACATAAACAAATGTATACTATAACTCTGGAAATTTTGATTAGGACAAAATGACACTATGTAATAACTAATAAATTAAATTCTAATGACAATTTAGATCAGTATGTGTGTTTGAATATTCACACTCTTTCATAAGTTACTAACTTGTTTGGGTTACTTTCAGTTTATGATAATCTTAATTTCCTACATTTCTATGACGGTCCTTTAACTTTATATTATGCATAATTATCATTTGGTTTTTGTTTATATTCTACATTTTACACACTTATAACTATATGATAACTAAATAATTACCTTAATTATCATCCATTACAATGTTGAATTAAGCATGCATGGCCACTACATTTAAACCTGTGATTTTTTTAAATGCAGTAAATAGATTTCTCAACTTGTATAACCCTAGCAGTGCTCAAAGCTAAACTATGCAACATTTAATCAACTGGCTCCTTCAAAATAGGCTTGATCACACTAACTTACTTAAATGTTACCACTACATCCTTTAATATTTCACACAATCAATATAATAAATAATCTAGAAGAAGAATATGTGATATCAAATCAGTGAAAAAATTGCTATAGTAAGGGCTGAAAGGTTGAGGTGCAAATATTTTATATTAACATGTCAATTAATCCAATTCTCCTTTCAAGCCATTTTTCATTATAAGTTAAATAAAAACCTTACTAACCCTTTTGCTGCCACAGCAATTATCACACTTTTGCAAATAATTTTCTAAAAAAAATTAAGAATATAACAAGCTGATAACAGAAACTATAGAAGCTATTTTTGGGAATATGAACATATTTTATATTAATAATTAACTTTTTTTTTCTTCAAAACATAACACTTTATCTCAAATCAGACCAAAATAAGGTATCTTTGCCATACAATATAATAGACGGGTAAACCCATATCATATGCTGGGACAGGGTTACATAATTGTATTATTAACTTAGAGGCCAGCCTCTCGTGACAATAAACGAACAGCTTAAATTCTTCAACAAGGAACACTAGTGTTCTTATAAAACAATCCCAATAAAAGATTCACAAAGACAATCTAACAATGGCTTTTTCTAACAAGCAACACAGATATTTAGCTAAAATATCCCCTACTTAACAAAATAAAAAATATAAAAGTTTATTAATATCTTATCACAGAAGAACATGCAGTACATATGGAAATTTATCTAAGGCACTTAAAATATGATTCAGAAATCATGATTCCTTATCCTTACTGCAGTAATGGGTTAACTCCTTATTAATTTTAATAGCAGTAACTGCTATAGCACGTAACTGCTCTAAGTAGATGGCATTTTTAAAATGTGCGGCAAGAATTTTATTACAAAGCTGTAACATACACAATAAATGTTTTAGTAGGAATCACTTTGTTTGAATATGTTATCTATTTCAGAACAGTCTGTAAAAACTTGACAGAATATCAACATGTGGTTAAAATAAATTATGCTGAAAATAATACTTAAGTAATAAAATACTTTTAAGATGAAAAGACTATCCTTTTGGTGTATTATTTGGCCTGTTACTTCTTGGTTTTTTTTAACATTTAACCTGCTGTATTTATGTAATGGAAATTACCCTACTTTGAATTTGGAACAGTCCATTTAAAGTTTTAGGGATTTCAATATCAAAATACAAAAATTGAGCTACCAACAGTATAGAGCCTGGTCAGAATGCACATATATGCCAGCTGACATGGGCTCTATACTGGTGGCAAAGAGCTTATCACTTTCAGCTCCAGCAGGTTAAAGGTTTAAGGATTTTATCAAGTTAAAAAATATCACAAATAATAATACTCAAATAAAACTACAGGCTTTGTGCCATCAGTATTCTGATTTTCTAAATCAAATTGAAACTATATAAGATGTGTTGATGTAACAGTTATTGAAGGGAAAAAAACAAAATCAGTTTAGATACAAATGTACCATAATGATTATGCATGAGAACAATGCAAAATGTAAAATTACACAAATGAAAGAAAAAAAATCTACTGGGTGTAAACTAAAGTGATTCTTCCACTTACACATTCAAAAGTATAACTAAATGGGAGTGGCTCATCTCTAACCCATCCCCTAATGAATATATGTTTAAAAAAAAAACTTGCCATTTTTGGATTTGCCGAAAATGTGAGGTTTACAAAAGCATAGATTTTTTAATAAAAAGCAACTTTTAACCATACAATACCAAAATCTTGCCATTTACATAAAATCAATAAAGCAGAATAAAAAAAATGGTTTACACAAAGCATGAATGAATTTACAATTAGAAATAACTGATTAAAAGTACATGTGCAGCTAACTAAAACTGAATACTAGTAACTGAAACATACTGAAATATCATACTGGTTTGAAATTTACTATAAAATGAAAAAATTGTACAAGCATATTTAAAAAAAAAAAAATATTGTACTACTTTATGTGAGCACACCGATTTGAATTGAAATGAATTTATATAATGCTTTCAAATATAAGCTGCGTTTTATTTATCATGATATACACAAAAGTATACCTTATAAAAAATATTTGAACACAATATGAGCTTGAGCCTCATTATTCACAACATTTGAAGTATATTCAACTTAATATAATAACAAACGACATGTATATATGTTTGCTATGTAAGATTCAATTAAAATAATCGTTGCTCTGATAATCTATCCACACAGTCACAGACTGACCTTATGATCAGCAGTTGATGTTCTTTCAAGGCACCGATAATTTTACTGAACTTTAACTCACAGAGATATTCTGATGACACTAGGTCATTTGACAACTTAAATATTTTTATTGGTGTAGGACACCAATGGGATTCAAACCTAAAGCCATTATGTGCAAGTGATTTGAAGTATGATATCAAAACAAGTTTGGCATACATTTACATGTATTACCCTGTTATTCCACAGGAATTGCTACAAAATTAAAAAGAACACCAAGTTGTGTACCTAATTCTGATTGCACATGTACATTATTTATTGTTTATTATTATGAACATCCATTCACAAGTATATTTTGAATTTATAACTTGCACAACTGATTTTTTATCATTTTAAACAATTAATTAATATCTTAGTATGAGTTAAGCTTATTTTTATTTCTGACACGAGGGGAAAAAAATGCAACAAAATTAGAACACCTATGCATTTGTGTTGGATTGTGCTGTTGTCGCCTGCCCAGCATTGACTGTCGTCTGCTGCAAATTGGATGATACAGGGCTGTACTGTGGTGGCTGTTCAATTATGTTACCACTGATTGGTGAAAATGTATTTCCGCAAACAACCTGATCATATGAAGGTGGTTTTTCCTCGCTGGATTTTGTTCGTTGAACTTCTTCGTATGACGGTGGATTTGCAACAATGGCTGGATTGTCTAAACCAAATTGTGACATCGCAGGTGGATGCTCGCCATGTATAATCATGTCTCTATCCTATAAATAATGCCAAAATCAAACAATGTTACACTGTCCCGGAAAATACATTCAAAAGACTTTCCTAAAAATTTTCAAACAATAGCTCTGTAAGAACTAGAAATAAAATATCATTATCAAGGAATGATTAAATCAACAAACTGATCAAGTAGATTAACCATTAAAAGATGATGCCAAAAACAGGTAAGAAAATTGTTCTTTCTTTTTTTTCCATTATTATCCACAAGACTTATCTAGCTTTGAAACTTTGTGTACAGATTACTAAGAGACTTCAAATTAAAATATGAGAAACAGCCATTAGCACTGAATATTGTCAGACTACATGGAAGATCTGTTTGGGCTACCTATAAACAGACTGGCTCTAAACTGGTGATTACTGGGATCCTACATGTTTACCGGACAATCAGTTTACCGGACAAAAGCTATTCCTGCTGAATAGTGCTTTTATTTTTGCTTTGATTAAAAAATCATCCGGTCTGAATCGTACACACACTTTCTATTTCAAAGTAAATAACAACAAAACCACTCTCAGGTAAATATGGTTGATTCAGTTCTTTATTTACTAACATGCCCTTTTGTTTACTAGTTATTTCATGACATGGTCATGCGGGGGAATAATCTGTTCTGCGCATGTACGAATAAAGAGGCTCTTAATGGGTTATTTTAGATAGGTTTTACTTTTAATTCTTCTCCACGTTATCTCAGGAGACAATCGTAACATATTTTAATGATAAAAAGTAATTTTAAATTTAGTCCAAAAAGTATCTCGTTGTTGTCTTTTACAAAGAAATGCACAATAAAGAACATATAAGGAAAAGGGTTACGCCCAATTGGGAGGAATCTCTACATAAAATGTAAATAAAATAGATTTTATGGCTTTTGTAACATGCTACATGATGACCAAAAGGAAACTGTATGACAAAGAACAGAATTCCACTTAAATATCAATGTTTCATACGTTTAAGATTCATTAAGAATCAATACATTAATTGAGTTAATACTCACTGTGTTAATTTCAATTACACCCCATAAATAGGCCTCTTCGTAACAAGCATTGCTGAAGTAGTGTCTTGTTTTAGTGACATACTTTTTTTTTTCAATATCTTAACTTTGCCTTTCAATAGTTGTAGTTTCCTTGCTGATTATTTAAAGATTAATTTCAATTCAGGACTTAAAAAATTGAAACGCAATGTCCGGTAAATTGAGCTGTCTACACGATTTTTTCTCTCTTATAATGCCCTATTTTAAAGACACATTTCTATGGTTAAATTTTTAATTTCATGTTTGTTAAAGTAATTTTTACTTGTATTAATAACCCACAATTATTTGGGTGAAATTTCATTCTTTTTTACTTTTTTAAATAAAAGTTACAGCAAAAAAACATCATATTTTGTCCGGTAATATGTAGGATCCCAGTACAGGTATTGGCCTTGGCCTTATCACTGCTTGGACTAAAACAAAATTAATAACAAACCCTTGTATGGCCCCCCAAAACATCTCCGTGCACAATGATGAGCCCTCTTTGAGTAACAATCTGCCTCCTACGTGCACGCGAGTAGAACACACATACCCATATCATCAACTTCAAAAATATCAGAAGTAATAGTATCCTGAAATATATAACATATTCATGAACTTACTCCTTTCAGATCTTGATGGAAACAAATACGTCAAAGAAAAATATTTATGACACAATATTGAACTAATTATAACTTGTCATGAAAAGTGTGATGCACATTTAAACTTATAGCTTTTTTAGAGCTTGTTTATAACATTCATTTTCAAATATGTTGTGTTTCCTTGTAGCTCAAGAATGTTTCATTGTAGCTTAAGAAACCGTTTTAATTAATTTAGTCTGCAATTAAAGATTATTTACATACAAATCATGTAATATCATAAAAGAAATCTTTCTGCGAATACTAATTACTCAACATGCACCTTTCTACTTTTCAGTGTATTAAATACATTGTACGGAAAATGTTGACTTTTACTGATATTTCTTTAATATTTGTAATGTGTCCATTGACATCTAAATGTCACCTCGGAGATAACCTAACCCATAGGCTATTACAAATTATATGATACTGGATTAAAAATAGGGCTGAGGCGAGTATCCGAGTACTTGGATAATCACGAATCAAAATGAAAATTGGAGTACGAATATTCGTCAGTCCAGACATCGTGGATCACGATCTTATTTGATCATATACAAAGTAACATTCACTGTTTCTCACATGGAATTCCTTAATCTTTATTCACTATGTTTTTACATGAAAATAAATAAATATTTTTAGTCGCTATATAAAGATTTATAATAATGTGACATGTATCGAAAGACGTTTTTTATAAAATTTCAAATTTTTTTTTACGTCACTGACATCCTGTCTGCCACAATGGCAGTCACGCCAATATAAAATTCAACCAGCAAAATTTACTTCCAGTGTTTGAGAAACTTTGCTAGTTCAATTGAACATAAGAAAAAAGTAGTTTGTAAAACATGCATCGGCGAACTGACTTATACCGGTGGTTCAACAAACTTGTCTACAGTAATCACATTAGACTACATGAAATATCCAGATATATTTTTCTCAAATGTACATTAAAATACCATGGGTGAAAGTTGGAAATTTCAAAAATTAAAAATTAAGCAGTTTTTCTAAAGTTTTTACATAGGAAATAGAAGGCTTTCAGGAGACTGAAAATCCTGAATTTCAGGAATAATCCTGAAAACTTTCACCTATGCAAAGAATAAAAACATAAACATAGTTCATATTTGCGTTCAGTATTGTATTGTTGAAAAATAAACATGTTTTCAGAATCTATGTTCATGTTTATAAGGGTGTCTTGATTACAAAAGATTTGTGGTTCGATTTGTGAATTTTAAGTGCTGAATTGTGGATCGGATTGGATCGCCACTTATCCAACGATGCACACCCCTAATTTAATTTTTTTTATCAAAACTTACACATAAAAGCCTGACTCCATGTCTCTATGGTAACTTCTTCCTCAATTAAGTACTGAAATAAAATAAAATGAATAAAATAAAATGTGTCATTAAAGTTGACAATAATGCAAAACACTGTACCAGTAATCTCTAGCCCTCAAACAAGAACACTGCAGCAGCATCCACCATAAAATGCTTTAAAATGTTTTACCTTTGCTGCTGCTGCTGGGCCAATCGCGTTATAACCATGTTATGGCATCAAAAAAGTGGACTTTTCAATGAAAACAGCCATTTTTTTACAAAATGCTCATGCAGTAAGGCAATATAAAACAAAACTGTCGAACGACACATATACCCCCCTTTCTAGTCATTGACTCACATAATTGGTAATTTTATTACAGAAACTTGCAAAAAATGGGTACATGGAAGTGTTCAATTATGGAAAAATCAACAGAAACCATTTTGACATTTAAGGCCCATGTGACATTGACCTTTGACCTAATGACCCCTAAGTCATTAGAGGTCATCTACTTCTTATGACCAATAACTAGGTGAAATATGAAGACTTTGTGATGAATACTTTTCAAGATAATCAGCGGAAACCCTTTTGACATTTAAGGCCCCTGTGACCTTGACCTTTGACCTAGTGACCCCAAAATAAATAGGTGTCATCTACTAGTTATGACCAATCACTATGTGAAATATGAAGACTTTGTGATAAATACTTTTCAAGATAATCAGCGGAAACCATTTTGACATTTTAAGGTCCCTGTGACCTTGACCTTTGACCTAGTGACCCCAAAATCAATAGGGGTCATCTACTAGTGATGACCAATCACTATGTGAAATATGAAGACTTTGTGATACATACTTTTCAAGATAATCAGCGGAAACCCTTTTGACATTTAAGGCCCCTGTGACCTTGACCTTTGACCTAGTGACCCCAAAATCAATAGGGGTCATCTACTAGTGATGACCAATCACTATGTGAAATATGAAGACTTTGTGATACATACTTTTCAAGATAATCAGCGGAAACCATTTTGACATTTAAAGCCCCTGTGACCTTGACCTTTGACCCCAAAATCAATAGGGGTCATCTACTAGTTATGACCAATCACTGTGTGAAATATGAAGACTTTGTGATACATACTTTTCAAGATAATCAGCGGAAACCATTTTGACATTTAAGGTCCCTGTGACCTTGACCTTTGACCTAGTGACCCCAAAATCAATAGGGGTCATCTACTAGTGATGACCAATCACTGTGTGAAATATGAAGACTTTCTGATACATACTTTTCAAGATAATCAGCGGAAACCATTTTGACATTTAAGGCCCCTGTGACCTTGACCTTTGACCTAGTGACCCCAAAATCAATAGGGGTCATCTACTAGTGATGACCAATCACTATGTGAAATATGAAGACTTTGTGATACATACTTTTCAATATAATCAGCGGAACCCATTTTGACATTTAAGGCCCCTGTGACTTTGACCTTTGACCTAGTGACCCCAAAATCAATAGGGGTCATCTACTAGTGATGACCAATCACTGTGTGAAATATGAAGACTTTCTGATACATACTTTTCAAGATAATCAGCGGAAACCATTTTGACATTTAAGGCCCCTGTGACCTTGACCTTTGACTTATTGACCCCAAAATCAATAGGGGTCATCTACTAGTTATGACCAATCACTGTGTGAAATATGAAGACTTTGTGATACATCCTTTTTAAGATAATCAGCGGAAAGCATTTTGACATTTAAGGTCCCTGTGACCTTGACCTTTGACCTAGTGACCCCAAAATCAATAGGGGTCATCTACTAGTTATGACCAATCACTATGTGAAATATGAAGACTTTGTGATAAATACTTTTTAAGATAATCAGAGGAAACCATGTGGTCTACCGACGGACAGACCGACAGACCGACGGACCGACAGACCGACATTAGCAAAACAATATACCCCCTCTTCTTCGAAGATACCCCCTCTTCTTCGAAGGGGGGCATAATAAATTCCCAGATTCTCATCCCCGCCTGACCAGTAAAAATTGTTCTGCCCGAACATTTTTTTATTTAAAAAAAAAAAAATATTTTTAGCTGGAACTTAACATTTGATTACAGTCTACGAATGCCAAGTACTGAAAGTATATTAGTAATGGTGCATCATCAGCATTTGTGCGGCCAAAAGTCTGTCGGTCTTGTTCCTGGCTGAATAAAAATTGGATCATGCGGTCCGAGATAAATTTTCTTGGTCCGATTAAAATTTCAAAGAGCTATTGATAACCTGTTTGATAGTTAAAACTAAATTTGTTTAAAACTTTCAAGATTTTAACCCACATTAGACAAATTCTGCACAAGTCAAATTAACAGCAGTGAACTTGTCTTCATTAACAACATTGGTAAATTTTGCCGTAAATTACAAATTTAGAAATTTTGTTTTACAATGCCTTTAAAATAGCGGATGAATAACAATTATAAAATATTTAATCTGATTTAGTGTAAAATCAATTAAGAATGTAGTACACCCATACTTTATGCATTTCACCTTTGTTCATCAGTTATGCAGTAGTTTTTCAAAAACAAATTATAACCAGGAATCTCTAAAATCTAACTTATTCTAAGCCAGTGGTCAATATAATATCATCTTGGACACAAATGAACGTCAAATGATCATATAGTTTCAATTTTTCGACTGCAAAACAGACCGATTTTATAATCTGATATTTCTTAGTGTCCAACTTTATTTGTCATCCAATGAAAACGGTGTATTTCTTAAAAATTCTGAGTGTTAATTTTCATAGAAGAACAAAAGTCGATACTATCGAATACCATTCATAGTCGACTTCTATTTTTCATAGTACTTCATAGAACGCGTTTGTAAAAATAGTCATTTGCATAAATTTGCACATGCGCTTTCGTGGGCCCTTTTGAATATTAATTAATAAAAAAATGACGTCAAAAGGTCAACCTACATTAATTTCACATTTATTGATAAAGGAAATACATGCAGTTCAGATTTAAATCCACCTCTAGGCGAAAAAGATATTGCACGTGTAAAAGTAAAAACAATACAAAGTCAATTCATATTTTTTGTTAGTTTTACGAATGTAGGAAATGTTTAAATTAATTTGTAATTTAGAGGAAAGTCATGTGTGTCTATTCAGGTAGACAGAAAGTGAAATTACATACTGTTTTTGGAAAATACATTTTGTTACCTCGTATTAACACATGACATTTAGTGTATTCATCAGATATTTACTACTGAGTATCAATTGTCTAACTCATTATAGATGTTTGTTGAAAATAAATGTTTCCGTATCGAGCCATATTTTGCTGTCCTCCATTTCCCAACTGAAAAGCAACTTCATGCGTTGTGATGTAAATCATGCATATTTATAAGGTCAAATTTATACCCACCATTCAGGTAATTGTTTAATTAAGCGGACTGGTAGTGACATAATAAAGTGAATATTAATGAGGCCAAATAAAGTTTGACACTTAATATGTTAGTATTCATCCGTAGCTGTTCTACAGAAATTAGAATCATTCTCCGGTCGCTATCGTTCCCGTCGAAGTTTCTAATTTCTGTAGAACATCACGGATGAACACTAACATATAGAGTCACCGTACCAGTGCTCAACCAGTTTTTCACAAAATCACATAAAAACTCTTTCAGAACAAAAGGTTTGATGGGAAACTTATTTTTGTTACAAAGCTGGACCTTTCAAACTCACAATAAGCTAAAGCGTTTTAATAACACAGATTAGGATACAATTTACCACAGAGTTGTATATAGGGTATAAAACTACTATATTTTTCAGACAACCAAACCAGTGCTCGACCAGGTGGTTTAATCTCTATCAGAACTTTTATTTCTTAAAAACAGATATGACTTTTTATGTTCAACAATTCTATTTCAAAAATATTTTGAAACATTTATGTTTTATTGTCTATAGATGAAAATATGAAAGCAAATATGATACAAAGGAAATGCTATACATTGACAAATAAAGTGTTTATAAGAGTTTTGGAATTTAAATATACTGAGGCGTTTTGGATTATTTATTCTCATATTTTTTTACTAAAATCACTCTGCAAACATAGTTAAGTGTGATAATTGGTGTAATATACAAATGGTCCATGCTTTTAGTGGTGTGTTCTCGATTTGTTTCCGTACAGCTGCCATATTTGTTTACATGTTTCATAGCCCCTGCCTTTTATGTAAAGCAGGGTTTTGATAATTTTGAACACCTTTCCTATGGAAATCAATTCGAATCATAAAAGTAAAGGCAATTTAAACAAATATTGTCCACATTTGCCCTAAATTATCATTATTTCAGTGTTTTAGATAGTTTTTACTGCTACTTTTATTATAAAATTGTATTTTTGTACTGTTTAATATTGTCTGCAAAATGGTAAATCTTCTACCAAACTTGGAGTACTTTTACATGGTGTAGAGGTTACAGGTCAGGTACAAAGAGCAAGCACGAACTACCAGGGTTTTTCCACTTTAATGCATAAATCATACACAAATAGAAGTATTGGTCGAGCACTGGGCTGGTCGAGCACAGGTACTGTGACTCTTTATAGATATCTATCTTTACAGAAAGGCGACCATCGTCTATATAATAAAAAGCCCTAAAGCCCATAATTTGTTGGGCTAATGGTCATATAGGTGATCATAGTGAAATGAAAAGGCGCTTTTACTTTGGAATTTGGTTCGGTCTGTAACACAGGCACTAGACCCAATAATTTACCTCTATATGCTCATAATACTATATATAAACATTTATTTTTTAATTGTGTCTAGTGCCTGTGGTCTGTAAGAGTAGAAATTATTTAGAATCTAGAACATGAACAGATGAAAACGACAAAATATTCAGGAATTTAATTTTGACAGCTTTATCACAACAATTGAAAATTAATTATGCTTACAATGTATTTATTTTTCGAAACACCGACTGTTTAAACTGCTTACTAACACGTTTTGCTTCCTTGTTAGTTTGTTTGTTTTGCTTTTTACGAAATGTTCGGTGAACTGTAATAAAAAGCTGTGCGTGAAAATCATAAATTGGTCAAATATAAAGGTTGAACACCACAATTTTTCTATTAATTTATTTATTCACCTATTTAATAATTTATTAGTCCCCTACCGGTTTACCGGAGGGGACTTTAGGTTTACCCTCCGTCCGTCTGTCCGTCAGTCCGTCCGTCTGTCCGTCCGTCAGTCCGTCCGTCCACAAAACTGGATCCCGCGATAACGCAAAAAGTACTGAAAATATTTTAATGAAACTTGATATATGGATAGATGGCAGTATGGAGATTATGCACGTCTTTTTCTTTTCTTCCTGTGTTGAAAATTCTGGTTGCTATGGCAACAAATAGACTGAAAATATGGCAAATTTTACACATAACCTGGATCCAGTGATAACACAAAAAGTACTGAAAATATGTTTATGAAACTTGACATATGGGTAGATGGCAGTATGGAAATTATGCACATCCTTTTCTTATCTTCCTATGTTGAAAATTCTGGTTGCTATGGCAACAAAAAGACTGAATTTCAAGATTTCTGATTCTAGTTTTTAAGTTTTTTCACTATAAGTTCTTTATTTCTTAAGGTATTTTCTTCAAACTTTAAATATAAGTTGCTTGTCATCAACCACATCATATGTGACAAGGTTTACAACTCTAGCACATAATTTATAGCACATAATTTATCAGAATTACCTCCCTTGAACTTAAAATTTTCATGAAAAAAACATTGTTTTTTTTTTAATAACTTCTTTTTCTGAATGTATCTACTTCAAACTTCATATAAATGTTTCTTATTATCACTCAACATTAAATTTTGTGAGTGTTCAATACTCTAGCAAGACTATTTCCAGAATTATGCCCCTTTTGAACTTAGACTTTTTTTTGAGAAATTGGTAATTTTTACTCCAACTTCTTCAATCATGATAGGATTTTAAAAATGTTATATTTTGATAACAGGGATGTTTAAAAAATAACTTTAGAGTGTCTTTCAGTCCGTCTGTCTGTACATAAAAACTGTTTCCTGTGATCACTTTTAAAGAACTTTTTCAACAAATTTACTTAAAATAGGAACCTAAGTGAATGGCCAATGGCCCTTCAGAATGTTGCTTGGGCTCTTACCGGTAGGGGACTTATGGATTGCTTGCAATACTATGATAATTGCTTGTTTTCTTAAGGAGGGGTGTTCTTTTTCTGTTCTTTAACTCAACTAAGGACAAATTTTACAATTACAGTTATTTCACCTGAATAAATATCCATGATGTTAATAATTTAGCAGTTTTGAAAGACCTTGTATAATTACACAGATATATTCCATGATAATTACCTGTAATGTTGGTCTGGTTAAATTGACTTACACCATCCTAGTATCCATTTCTATCCCTCTTCTATTTTGTCTCTATGGTTACATTTTACTTAATTGTGTTCAACACAGCCTGCACCATCAGCAAATTATAAATAAAACTTCAGATTTAGACTCTTTTTTTTTTTTCTTATCAAATCAAAAGCATTTCGTTTCAAAATTCAGAGCACTTGGAAAAAAGGTATACATGTATAATTGACTGATTGGGAAATCTAATAAATGATGCTCAGTATTTTCTTTCTAAAAATCAAGACTTCTCTTTTTATTCTTTTTACATTTCACTTACATGTGTATGATATTCTTATCATTTTAAAATTTTGACAAACATATACTGTATTTTTTAGATTTCTTTTTTTTATGAGTAATTTCCACAAAATCATTTGAACTTTTGTTGGAGTTTATAGAGTAAAGAAAAGATAATCATGACTGTCTTTGTATAGATATATATTAGAAATAGTAAAATGCAAATGTACACCAGTTGTTACACCAGTTCTGATATTGCTGTTATCATCACTAGATATTTCTGTGTAAATTTATAGATTCAGGTATTTTATTAGCTCGACTATTCGCAGAATAATCGAGCTAATGCAGTCACCCATTTGTCGGCGTCGGCGTCCCGTTGTTTTAAGTTTTTTGTGTGTAAGCTGGGTATCTCCATAACTTCTGAAGGGAAATGGATTGAAACTTCACACACTTGGTTCCCTGTGATTATCTAAGATGATTGGCACAAGTCCCATAACTCTGATTTGCTTTTTTTACATAATTATGCCCCTTTTTCAACTTAGAAATTCCTTGGTTAAGTTTTTGCGTGTAAGAGCTGGTATCTCCATATACTACTGAAGGGAATGGATTGAAACTTTCACACACTTGTTTTCTGTGATTATATAAGATGAATGGCACAAGTCCATAACTCTGATTTGCTTTTTGCAATAATTTATGCCCCTTTTCTCGACTTAGAAATTCTAGGTAAATTTTTGCTTGTAAGCTGGTATCTCCATAACTACTGAAGGGTTTGTACCTTTTCTAACAATTTTATGTATTCATATAGGTCAGCATTATTATACTCAATGAAACACCCTTGTGGCAACTTTTCGAATAGTCGAGTGTTACTGTCCTCCGACAGTTCTTGTTAGCTCGTCTATTTGCAGAATAATCGAGCTTGAATGCAGTCACCCATTTGTCGGCGTCGGCGTCCCTGTGGTTAAGTTTTTGCATGTAAGCTGGTATCTCCATAACTACTGAAGGGAATGGATTGAAACTTCACACACTTGTTCCCTGTGATTATCTAAGATGATTGGCACAAGTCCCATAACTCTGATTTGCTTTTTTACATAATTATGCCCCTTTTTTGACTTAGAAATTCTTGGTTAAGTTTTTGCAAGTAAGCTGGTATCTCCATAACTACTGAAGGGAATGGATTGAAACTTCACACACTTGTTCCCGGTGATTATCTAAGATGATTGGCACAAGTCCCATAACTCTGATTTGCTTTTTTACATAATTATGCCCCTTTTTTGACTTAGAAATTCTTGGTTAAGTTTTTGCGTGTAAGCTGGTATCTCCATAACTACTGAAGGAAATGGATTGAAACTTCACACACTTGTTTCCTGTGATTATCTAAGATGATTGGCACAAGTTCCATAACTCTGATTTGCTTTTTTACATAATTATGCCCCTTTTTCGACTTAGAAATTCTTGGTTAAGTTTTTGCGTGTAAGCTGGTATCTCCATAACTACTGAAGGGAATGGATTGAAACTTCACACACTTGTTTCCTGTGATTATATAAGATGAATGGCACAAGTCCCATAACTCTGATTTGCTTTTTTGCATAATTATGCCCCTTTTTTGACTTAGAAATTCTAGGTAAATTTTTGCTTGTTAGACGGTATCTCCATAACTACTGAAGGGTTTGTACCTTTTCGAACAATTTTATGTATTCATATAGGTAAGCATTATTATACTCAATGAAACACCCTTGTGACAACTTTTCGAATAGTCGAGCGACTATTGTATTTTCTCGTCTAGTATTATTCTTTAGTTTCCATTTTGAATTTCCAACAAAACTGTTACAATCAACACTCTGGCAAAGATAAGGTTGAAGCTCACTGCTTAATTATTTTAACATACTCTAAGGATGGCTTTAAGTCAGCCTTCAGCTTTTCTAAAGGTTAAAAATGTAATTTTTAGATAAATCGCTTCATAGAATTGTCAAATCAAAAGAATTAAAGTGGAAAATGAAATTTACTAACAATAAAATACATAAACAATAAGGAAACTGCTCGTTACCTCTAATCTATCTGTTTGCATAAGTAAAGCCAACGATTCATTTCCAGATCTATTTTTTCTAGAAACAAACCTTACTGGTGCCTTTAAAAAGCTTTTGGGACACTGTTTTGAAGAAGGCATGTTGGACTTTTCAAAGATAAAATTACGGAAATACTTTAAATTTGAAACAAAACTTAATTGTTTTCCAAATAAAAATAGAAGCTAAAGGCTGCTTTTAAGGCATTGGTCATATTCATCACATTTTAGTTAAAATATCTGCAATATCAGGCCATAGAACATGAATTGCGATGTTTGTAAAGTAAGATAAATCAAATAACACACAGATAAATTTGAAATAATTTAATCAAGATCATAACAATGGAAACATGAAATGACAAATACAAAAACAATATTTTCAGACAATGTTATAAAATGAGAACATGGTTTTCTGAGAGAGAGAGAGAGATAAACAACCAATTAAAGCTTTCTATACCATTATGTGACTGAATATAGTTGGTCACTTCTGAATTTTAAAATTGGAACATATTTTGTGGTTTTACCATAAAAATTACAATTTCATTGAAGAATAGTTGAGTAAATTAGCTAATCAGATTTGTATGAAAATTCAGTCAACAATGGCTGATAAAATTTGTATGAGACCGAGTGGCCTGCCAGATTTGTATGAAAAATCAGTAGACTATGGCCAGACAGATTTGTATAAAAATTCAGAAGAACCTGTCCAGACAGATTTGTATGAAAATTCAGTTGACCATGGCCAGACAGATTTGTATGAAAATTCAGTTAACCACGGCCAGACAGATTTGTATGAAAGTTCAGTGGACCATGGCCAGATAGATTTGTATGAAAGTTCAGTGGACCATGGCCAGACAGATTTGTATGAAAGTTCAGTGGACCATGGCCAGACAGATTTGTATGAAAGTTCAGTGGACCATTGGCCAGACCTATTTGTATAAAAATTTCTAGAAGAACCTGGCCAGACAGATTTGGTTATAAAAATTCAGTAGACCTATGGCCACACAATTTTGCATGAAAAATTCAGTAGACCATGCCAGACAGATTTGTTTGAAAATTCAGTAGACCATGGCCAGACAGATTTTGTATAAAAATTCAGAAGAACGGTGGCCAGACAGATTTGTATGAAAATGCAGTTGACCATGGCCAGACAGATTTGTATGAAAGTTCAGTGGACCATGCGCCAGACAGATTTGTATGTAAAGTTCAGTGGACCATGGCCAGACAGATTTGTATGAAAGTTCAGTGACCATGGCCAGACAGCGATTTGTATGAAAATTTACGTGGACCATGGCCAGAACAGTTTTGTATGAAAATTCAGAACATCATAGTCTAGATTTTGTATGAGATAAAAATGGCAAGTTTATAATTA